CCAGATTTCTTATGACAGTTTCGAGCAAAGTGACCAGTCTCACCCCATTGGAAACAAGCTCCACTAAGAAGTCTGCATGCTCCACTGTGCAATTTTCCACATGTCTAACATGGAATTCTCTCCCATGCTGCTCTACCTGAGCTAGCAACAAAAGACTGAGATTGTCTATTTTTCTGTTCTGTTGCAACACTATCTATATCCGTATATATGGAACTCGAGAGCTTGCCTCTTTTAACATGATGGGGATTGGAAGACATTCCAACTTTTTTCCCCGTCTGAACACTTTGCTATGCAGCTAAAGTCTTATCTTGAGCTCTTTCAATGGCTTTAGCTCTGTTTATGACTTCTTGTAGACTCGGCAAGTTCAAGACCAACGTAATCTCTTTCAACCTCAAACCCTCTATAAACCAATCACATCTTTCCTTGTCATTTGGAATGACTACAGTGGCAAAACGGCTCTACTTGTTGTACTCAGCCTCAAATTCATGTACAGCTTGATCACCTTGCTTTAGATTAAGGAACTTTATCAACATTTCCCTTTTTAATTGTTCACCCACGTACTTGTTCTTGGATTCCTCTAGGAAAAATTGCCAGGTCACTTGCTCCGGTGGTGCATACATCGTAGTATTTGACCAACATACTCGGGCTGATCCTCTAAGTAAATATAAAACTCCTCCCAACTTTTCCAGATCTGTAAATTGAAGAATCTCGACATTAATATAACATCATTTAACAACAAGTTGGCCTTCATTGTTCCCTCCCTCTCTTCTCCCCAAAACTCTATAGCTCTCAAGCTCTTTATCTCTTTTGGGATTAACATTCTCGGTGCTGGAGGAGCAAGGGCAGGCTGAAACCGAGTCAGTATTGTATCAAGGGCTTGCATGAAATTTCCAACCTCAGACACCAGAATCCCTTGATGTGCAGGTACACTAGCATTTTCAGAGGGAATAGGTCGTTCACTAGTTGCCTCATAGCTCTCACTATCAGTTCCTTCTTGCATCTTTTGTCCCCGAGTTCTTTGCGAATTTGAAGATTTCGACATCTATAACAACATACATAATAATAACATTTCAATTAGTAAGGAGTGTAATCAATTTCGCTAAAATGACACCATACCAGTAACATTGACAGTCTTTATGGCATGTAATCCCCTTTTCTACTTTGAAATTAAAACTAGTTTCGGTCGAGAATCGACTAAACCTATAGCTCTGATACAAATAAATGTAACACCCATCTCCCGTATACCCTTCCGTACAAGAGATATAGATGTCACATTACTCTTAAATAATTATTCCTTTGAAAAATCTCAAAAATATTTTTTTCTTCTTCTGAAAACATAATATTTTAATATAAAACAAAACATTGATTGTAATTTGTTATAAGTTCTACTTGATTTAAGTTAAGAGCATTTTAATATTGTGATTACATGCCAACTAAGTTTTCCCAAAATAAACTAGATTGTCTGGTTGTCACGGATGAGTCCACCTTAGTTGATGATCACCACGGCTACAGAAGCATTCCTTACTCAATAAATCTTTGCTTTACCTACGCGTGAGAAACAACACACGTTAAGCATTTACATAGTGAGATATAATATAGAAAATAACATTAAAGTATACATAAGTATCTCATGGTTATTTGACTTCAAACTAAGTTATATCATCCATAGGAATTAGTTAAGTCATTCGTATTATAACCAAACCTTTGTCATATTATCCTCATAACCATCTTTAGTATGTTCAAGATACTTCTCTTTAGTTCATTAATTTCAGTTATGTCTCTTTTCACACATTAAAACATCCATTTATGCATTTTAATTATGACATCATTTCATGCCTTAATGCATCCTTTCATGTATTTTAAATGATGGCACCCTTTCATGCCTTAATGCATCCTTTCATGCATTTTAAATTATGACATCTTTTCATGCCTTAATGCATCCTTTCATGCATTTTAATTATGGATTCGATATAGAGCAGTTCATACTCTAAAACTCATTCATAATATTCTTTCCATACATATAAAGATAACATAATCAATATTATAAAACATATATAAATTTAAAGCATTCTAATTTGAATGTTCTTCATCTCGCATACTTACAATATAGTACTCACCTTGCTTGCCTCGTTTGGGTATCCAATATATAAAGTTGATTACTCCGGAAATTAGCCTTTTCCTTTTTCTTTATTTGATTCAGGAGCTTGATTTCGATCTATTCAACATCCATTAAATACATGCACAATATCAATTGTTAGTATATATCCTAACAATTACACTTAAACATTACTCAAAAGCACCTATTAATAACTTTTCTACAACAATATCAGCCTATTTTAAAATTTATGGCTCCTCAGTATCGATACCCCTACCATTGTATCGATACTACCATACTATGGTACTGATACCCTACTATGGTATCGATACCATTTTTGCATTCTATTTTGAAATAGTATCGATACCTTCCCTTCGGTATCGATATGCTCTCTTCAGTATCGATACTGATCGATTCAGTATCGATACTACTTAGCAAATTCCTCCCATTTTAGCTTATAATATCGGTATTGTTCTATCAGTACCAATATCCGTGCCCATAATTTATAGTTTTCAACCCTATTTTCATGCAAATGGGGTCAAATTTCGTTATACTTACACCATATAATACTATTAAACTCTTCTTTGACTATCCATACTAATATTCCTTCATTTAATCTCTTAAAACATCTAAAATCTTTCAAGAACATTAAATTCTAAGAATCACACCACTTTTCCTAGTATGTTCTTAATCCTATCCAATGCTTCTAATCTCTTATTTACCTATTTGACAAGTCAAATCTACCAGTAAACATCAACAAACCCTGATATATTAACATATCATTTCAAAACCCATTTTCTAAAATCTCCATTATTTCCTCCATTTCATAGTTTTAATCTCATTTACTCATTCCTTAAGCTTTTATCCACTTAAGGTTGTAAAAACAACCCATAATCAAAAGGAAAAAACTTAATTTAAGGTGACCTTTGGAGCTATGGAGGAGGCTTTATCCACGTGAAAGAAGAAGAAAAAGGAAAGAGCTTTTTGATATCTACTTTCCCCTTTCCCTTATTTAACTACCCTAATACAATGGATTTTAATTTCGTCTTAATCCAATGACCAAAATATCCTTTAAACCCTTTATTGTTACAATTTAGTTTCAACCATTATTCCAAATCATTCTCATATTTTATCAATTAATCAAATAAATCCTCAAATTTTAAATTCTTTCAATAAAGGCCTTAATTCAATATTTGGGGCATTACATTTTTAATGACTAAATTTTTTATTTTATTATCGTTACATTTAGAATCTCGTAGAATTTTACATGTTGATAATAAAAATATTTTTTGTAGTTCCAATGGATGCCTTATACGAATATAGAAATGAGGACTTGTATCCCACTCGACCTTAGTGTTCTATTGGACACATGACAGGCAATTGTACCACTTATATGTTATGCTATTGTTGAGCGACATCCGAGTGATAAAGTTCTTTGTTAGTTTGGTTTCACACAATTTATTATAGAAATAACCATAAATCTTGATAATTTGTATAACATTGACAGACGAGATAAGACTGATGTTGATTGGGGAGGGTGAAAGTACATCTAGTAGATAGTGATGTTGGAGAATCGGTATGATCGTATTCTCAACCGTCATCCATTTTCAAACATTGATTTGGCGGTTTCGTTTGACTACATGTCATGATTCAACAAAAATGGGAAGTCGTTTATATTATCTGATGAGACATGAGGTGAGTCTATTCATCGTCGTCGAGAAAAATGTCCACCAACACAACATCATCATTCCCCCGACTAATTGTTGATGAAGAACATACACTTTCGACCCATCTCCATTAGCACTGTCGAAAACAATACAACATCCACCATCTAGACCGATGCAATATTATATGTTGAGTCCACATGGTTATATGCCGAGTCTTTTGGGTTATATGCCAAGTTCTCCGGGTTATATGACGAATCCCCCAAGTTATATGTTGAATTCGCTAGGTGGATATTATACGCCTATAGACCTTATGTTTGACAGGTGATGTTCATCCACCAACACTATTGTCGTATTCAACTCAGTCATCGATTCCACTTTTTCATAATTTTCACAATTCTCATTAAGCGGTAAGATTATTGATCACACACCTCTGCATTATTATTCCACGAAAGTCCTTCGTCATCGACTCTGATACAATAAGTTGAAGCTGATGTTGGTGAAGACAATGAGAATGAAGATCATGTTGAAGAACAACCTATACGAAGAAATTCAACTTGAAACAGATAACCACCACCCTGTGGATCGCATTAATGAAGAAGACATTAGTGTTTATATTATTTTATCTTTTTAAATATAATTTTTTTATGTTATATTTGTACTAAATTTTGAATCTAATTGTTATATATAATTTTATATTCGAATTAATTTTTTATGTTATAATCGAATTTTACATTATATTTAATATTTAATTGTTATATTTTATAAATTTATTATTTTTTTCTAATTTAGATAGAAAGAACGTGCCTTTTAAGTGGACTGCCACGTAAGCAGAAGGTGTAGTTTGTTGAGTGAAATGCCACCTGGGAAATGAGTGTTCTGTAGAACACGCATTTTTGTCACGTGATAGAAATGGGTGTTAAGTCAAAAAATAATGAACAATAAGTGCTCTTTTAATAATTAATTATTTTTGGGTGATATTTAGTTCTTATCTCTTAATTATTTGAATTATTTGATAATAAAGGTAAAAAGTAACCCTCTACAAAACCCAAATCAATCATAAGGAACAGTAGAGTCAAAAATAAGATGAAGACAGTAAATAAACTACTTGCAATTGTAAACTTCCATTCAATTATTGGTTCAGGGCATCAAACCAGAAACATATAACAATGATAAACAAGAAATAAAACTCATTAAATTAAACAACACAATCAAACAAACGAAACTAATACTTTTTTAACCGCACGAAGAATAATAATGAAAATCAAATATGAAAGAAACCCAGAATTATGAAGAAGACGTCAAACCTGCAGATTCCTCATCATACAAATCATCCGACCTCCTGAAGGAAGCGTGGACCAAAACGACAACCGCGCCAACCAAAAGCGACCACAAAATATTGGGCGTGGCATCTGTCAACAGCAAGAACACGATAGTCAAAACCCCCAACACGATCAGAACCACACGGTCGTCGATCGTACGGCGGAAGATAACTAAAGGCTCGTCCAGCAGGAAGTACAAGACCAGCCAAGCGGCCATCATGGCTACGAAGACTATAAGGGAGATGGGTTGCCATAAAAGGCTAAGGAAAAGGACGAAAAGCACGATTATAGCGTAGTTCATGCGGAAGTAAGCAACGTTACTTCTAACCCTGGAAATAGCGTCAGATAAGTTGACGGGAAAGTTGAAGGAGCGGATGTTGAACATGAGTTTCCATGGACGACGATCTCCGAGCCCTTCTTTGATACGTTTCTTGGCTCGAGATAGGTATTCGATGTTCGCCGACGGTCCCGGCGACGAAGAAGTCGGGATCGTGCCGTAGGTTGTCATTGAAGTTCAAAGGTTTGACTTTTTGAAAGGCTTTTCCTTTGGGAAGAAAGGAGAAAAATCGAGAATACACAAGGGGTTGGGAAAGGCTAAAGGAATAAAGAATTGGAGGGGACGGTGGGTATGTGTCACTATGGTTTTGAGGTCTAATTGATTTTTGAAATCTAAATAATTTTTTTTTTTGTTAAAAATATATATCTAACGTTTTCAATGTTACATTTTTAGGTGTCTAGATCGTAACGACCGTTAAATTTGGACGTTATCTTCCATGTGTCACACATAAAATTTCAAAAAAATTATTATTTTTAAATGTAATATTATAATATAACAAACCTCCAAAATTTATCCTTTTTCACCGTCGATCGGTCACCATCGGTGCATAGCTGTCACAGTTGACAGTATCAGAATTATCTCACCGCTGCGACCAAAATCTAGTCCCCCACCCACCGTGAAATTGTTCCAATCTTCGAAAAAAGCGTTGTGAAGTGTCGCCAGCTTTCTAAGTTTTCCTTTGTTGTTTTCTGTGATTTCGACAACTATAATTAGTCGTACGTTACACGATTGTCACCATTGAATTGCTTGCTTTGTTCCGAACAAAACCCAGCTAGTAGTGACCCTTAGTGGTTGTCAAAGATGGGGGATGGGAGGGAGAGGGGTGACGAGGGGTTATTTTTTTTTTCTAAAAATATTTTTATTTTATTAAAAAATAAAAAAAATAAAAAATAAAAAAAAATATAATGATACACCTAAAAGTGTAATGGAAAAAAGTTATACGTCTATTTTTATTTTTAGTGAAAAATTTTTTAATCATCAAAAGATAATTTGAGGTATAGTTTAGGGACTTAAAAGAATACGAAGCCTATTTTAAAATATATTTTTATAAACTGAATTATGTTTTTAAAAAATAGTTTTACTTTGTGTCTAATTCACATTTAGTTGAGATAGGACACATGCTCATCTTGAAATCTAAATTTTCTTCGGTAAGTTGTATATTTTATTGATGGTGTCTACCCTGAAATTTTATTTGTGTCCACTCTATTAAAATTTTTTGTGCTATTAACATATGTATGAATACCCTCAAAAATATTTCTAGATTTACCATTGATTTTACAATGTTTGAATGATATTGTATAAATCATTTTTCACTTGTTGGTAAATTTTTTGAAAATTATTTATTATAAATATCAAATATAATAATGATATTATTTATTATAAAGAAAATATTAGTATAAATTATTTAATATTATTTATATCAAAATTATTGTTAAATTATTTTTACAATCTTATAAATAAAAATATTAAGACTAGTATATTTTATTACAATAAATATTATAAATTATATGAATTATTTATTAATATAAAATGATATATTATATAATTAAAATAATAAATATTATTAATTATATTAATTACTTATTAAAATAATATTATAATATTATAATAAAAATATTATATTATATTTTAAAAATTATTAATAAATATATTTTAAATATCTAGTAATTAAATAATATTATTTTTATGAAATTAATAAATGATATTAATTTTATTAATTATTTTATTATATATTCATAAAATAAAAATATATTATCATATAATATTATATTATTAAAAATATTATATTATAATATAAAAATTATTATTAAATTTATTTCAATAATTAAATATTTTATTAAATATATTATATTAATATTAAATATATACAATAATATTATTTTGAGTATTTATGTTTTGAAATGAAAAGTTCGAATAATAACTTTAAAATTTCATATTGTAATTTATTTTCCAAACATTTTAAAGAAAATTTTGTTGGTGAAAAAAAGAATTACATTAATCAATATGTTTTCCTTCAGTCAAAAATTGGAAAATGAAAAAAATGTTTTTCGAAAAATCAATTAGAGTGATACAAACATACTCTAAAATAACTTTCTTGGGACAGAAAAGTTTAACGAGTAAAGTACACCAAAAATCCTTTGCTTATTTTTGTTATCATTTTGGTAAGTCTTTTTCCCCAAAAATTATAAAATACTTATTAATTTTTTCAATATTAAATTATTTTAATATTCTTATAGTATTTTTAATCAATAAGTTAAAAAAATATTTTTAATATATTTTTATAAGTATATAAAAGTTGAAAATATAGTTTTAAAATTAAAATGATATGATTTAAAAATATAAATTCTTTAAACTTTAAAATAACTAAAACTTTTAAAAGAAAATATAAACGATAATAGGATTAATTACTGTAATCAAATCAAATAATACAATGTATAAACTCTATTGATATTTTTAAAGTCAAGTATATTCCAAAAGAATAAAAAGAAAAATTATTTTGAGACTTTTTATGTTATAATTTAAGGGGAAATGTTTAATGTTTAATGTTTAATGCTTAATGTTGATTCTTGGGTTCTTTCTTATCTCTCCTTCCTCGCGACCCTCCCTCCGTTGAAGGGCGTCATCGCTATCGACAGTGGATTTTCTCCGTTGGTGTTTATTTTTCGTCCCCTTTCTCAATGATTTCACATTCCTTCAGGGTTTCAAAAAACGGTCCGCAACCGCGATTTCGTTCACGATATAGCGGTTTCGCCGTTTTCGGAGTTACTCGTGACGGCCGCAATAGCGTCCGCGACGACCGCAATAGCTCCCGCGACGGCTGCAATCATGGTAAATTCGAAATAACCGAAAACGCGACCGCGATTTGAAATCCTGATTCCTTCATCTCTTTATTTTCTGTCGTGATGCCATTTGGTTCATCTTTATGCCAGCGGTGGATTTTATTTTTTGCCCTATTCTCACCAGCTGATTTTTAGGGTTTGGTTTTCACTAGTAAGTGCTTTGTGGGTACCTTCGGTGGTATTGGGATCCTGGCGATGTTGCTAGGTTCAGTTTTGATCGGATAGTTATCTGGTGGATCCTTTTATCTTATGTTCGGTCGGGAAGACATCACTTACGTGGCTTTCTTTTGTCTGCATGGTACACGCAATAGTTATCATTTTCGTTAACCTCACGTGTGTTACAGATCTTTGGGTTCTTTGAGGGTTATCCACTCTCTGCAATGGTTACCATTATGGTTGGTGACCCACAAACCCTTTGATTATGCTGTGTTACATCCATCTTGGTTCAGTGCATCTCCTCTCGACCACCCTCTTCTTCTTCCTCTTCCACTTCAACTATCCTTAATGGCTAATGATGTTCATAGTTTACTTGATTGTTTACGCTTTATTAAGAGAGATGGGGGATATCATCTCTAAACCTACACTTTTACCTTCTTCGGATGCCACTTCTCACCATTGGGTCATTGGTTGTTTAGTCTCCTCCAATACTATCCCTGATTCGTTCATATGAGTATTTCGTATATTGTGGAGTTCCTCCCGTTTGGACGATATCACCCACCTCTGGGATCTTCACTTTCTTTTGAAAGTTTTGTCTGATACTACAATGGAGATTATTATGAGTCATACACCCTGGGCTTTTAATGGCGATCTTCTAGCCTTGACCTCCTTTGATTCTCACCTGAGTCTATCTGGTTATGACTTTTTCAATCTTCCTATTTGGATCCGAGTTTATGATGTTCCCCTGGGTTTGATGAATGCCACGTTGGGTACCTTGATTGGTCGTTAGCTTGGTTCTCCGCTTGCTATTGACCTACGCCCGGGTGTTGAACGACAGGGATTTTATTTATGATTATGAGTTGTCGTTGATATTCTGCAGCCATTACGATGTTATGTCTCTATCAGTCATCGTGCTAATGTTCGGCCTCATCTATGTTTGTTGAAATATGAACTCAAATTTTTACATTTTTTATGGTCGAAATGCTCACACCCAGATTATTTTCCAACATACGATCGTAGACTCTACACCTTAATTTTGTGATTGGATTTAGGTCACCCCACAGGTGTTGGTTCTTCGTCTCGCCCCTAACCCTGCATCCAAACTCTCCGAGGTGGTTCTACTGTTTCAACCCTTACTGGCCCTACGACACATACCTCTTCTAGTGCACTCATAGATAATCATTCTCCACAGCCTTTGGCCTCTAGTTCATCTACCACTTTGGTTCCAGCGTCTAGCTCCCATCGTCCTGCTAAGCAGACATTGCCTGGTAGCATTGCTACCCCAAGTCATGCCTCCTCCAAGAGTGCTAGAATTCAACATAATGTGGCATCAGATACGAGTGAGGTGGCTTCAGATGCTCTGGTTATTTTTCTGTATTGGTGGAGGTTGTGGTACAATCTTGTCGTTCATTATGAAAATCTTATGTTAGAACATTTGGGGGCTTGGAACCCTAAACAGTTCGTACCTTAAATATGTTTTTCGCTCGTAAAGGACCTGATGTTTTCTTCCTTTGTGAAGCCCCCCTTTCTTGTAATCATCTTGATTCTTTGAAATTTCGGTTACATATGGAAACCACGGTAACCCACGAGAAACCATGTCACCAAAATTGATGCTACAAATTGAAAACACACGTAAAGAAAAGCCACCTAAGCCCGGGCTCCTTGCATAGAAAAAGATCGATCATATAATAAAGTGTTTGATTTTGGCCATGGAAAGCATTAATGAACCTACTGTCATGCAATCATCTGTTTGTAAATTATATGAAGACACTAGAATCAAACACGATATAGAATTATATAAAAAACTTTGAGTCGCGGATGACACTTTACAAAGAGAACTATTTGCCCCCACACAAAGTTGCAGGAGGGTTAAGACAAAGGATCTCTCGGGATACAACGAAATTTGAATCTTCTTTGATAAGAAAAAACAAGAAATTCCCATATTCTTACACTTATATAAGCAAAATTGGATTGTTTGTAATGATTAGAAGAACACCATGAATCATCTATTTATATGCATCCAATAGATATCACTTTGAAAGGTTACAACCTTTCATGTAGGTCATGTCTCTTTAAAAGAAAATGATATATCTCTCTAGAAGAAACATGTCTCATGATATGTAATATTTGGATGATAAATCATTACTCTTGAATTAAACTAATTTGTAATCTATATATTTCCACAATCTCCCACTTAATTGCTAAATTTAAACACAAGTACACAATGAATACGTATAGAGGATGGTGTCAACAGATTGAACCTTCCTTTAGTGAAAAT